GTTAGGTAAGGTTAGATAGATTTTAAAAATCCGTTTACGGACAGTCTAGTGTGAGATGGGAGGTGTATCCGACTGTTGTCTGTGAGGTCCGGTGTCGCGCCCAGTGTGGACGGGAACCTTTACTCGCGAAAACAGAACAATATCGGGGTTGCCTGTGGGCGATAAAACTCCTCAGAACGGAACCTCGGGGCCATTCCCTGGGATGATGTCCTAGCGAGGAGTGGAGAGGACACAAAGAACAGGAATGAAAGAGAAATGAAGAAGATAAAGATGTTGTGAAGGGAGTGACGACGCAATGTCAACACACCACCAGCTGGGAGACCCTCCATAAACAATGACCTGAAACTCTGTATTTTTAAGTGACGAGAAAATGTTGGCGTGAATGTCTCGGTATAAAAAAAATGAGGGTGGGGATCTTCGACAAGCCGCCGGCTTCCTGTCCTCGTCGAAGCCACTGGTGTTAGTGGCCCTCGGGTGAATATTTTAGTCAGAATAAACTATAAAACGACATACACTGACCTCGCTCAGGATAGGACACTTAATACGATGTATTCTGCGAGCAAATACACTTCGCCCTGACGACGGGCACCAGGAAACAACGTATATTAGCCGGCATTGACAGGTGTGTGTGTGGAATCCAAATTTACAGCCCCGCTCCTGTGCCAGGTAAGTCCACTACGGGCTCACCATAGCCCGTGCTACCTAGAACTCCTTGTTCCGAGTAGCTGAATCTAAAACAACAACAGGTGTGTGTGTGTGGAGCCACATCTGTCACCACACACATGCCTGATGTGCAACACTGCAGCACATGTGTAAACGGTCGGGAGGTAATCATCATTCCTCGCCCCCAAACAGTGCCAGCAATGGCGACAATTCACTAGTGCTGGGAAAATGTGTTGGTAATTATCGTATCTTGCAATGTGTGTTATCACCATAAACTTCGCTTTCATAATTTACATGCTGCTAGTTATAACAGTTGTGGGGTATTACCCGCGATAGCAGCTTCTTTATTCTGTATTACCCGTGATAGCAGCTTCTTTATTCTGTATTACCCGTGATAGCAGCTTCTTTATTCTGTATTACCCGTGATTGCAGCTTCTTCATTCTGTATTACTCGTGATAGCAGCTTCATTCCGTATTACCCGTGATAGCAGCTTCATTCTGTATTACCCGCGATAGCAGCTTCATTCTGTATGACCCGTGATAGCAGCTTCTTTATTCTGTATTACCCGCGATAGCACCTTCTTTATTCTGTATTACTCGTGATAGCAGCCTCATTCTGTATTACCCGTGATAGGAACTTCTTTATTCTGTATCACTCGTGATAGCAGCTTCTTTATTCTGTATTATTCGTGATAGCAGCCTCATTCTGTATTACCCGTGATAGGAACTTCTTCATTCTGTACGACCCGCGATAGCAGCTTCATTCTGTATTACCCGTGATAGGAACTTTCTTTATTCTGTATTACTCGTGATAGCAGCCTCATTCTGTACGACCCGTGATAGCAGCCTCATTCTGTTCGACCCGTGATAGCAGCTTCTTCATTCTGTATGACCCGCGATAGCAGCTTCATTCTGTATTACTCGTTATGACAACTTCCTCTTGTTACAGATATTATCCGCTGCAACTAGCTTGCTTCCTCCTCTTGCATATATTATTCGAGATAACTGTTTCCTGTTACATTACTCGTAATAACAGCTGCCTCCCGTTACCACCATAATCCATTACCCGAGGGGAAGGGGGGTGAGGTACGAGTGATGGGGCTGGAAGTGGGGGGTAGAGGTGGGTTAGAGTATGAGGGTAGTACGTATGTACGGAATACTTATTGTCAAGACACTAATCCAAGCCTCATATATGAATAATATTGTAAGAGCGTTATATCCACTCCCAACCCGTTCTCGCACTTTCTTACAGTCAATATTGACTTATTAAATACGTGCATATGTGACATGCTAATTTATTGTGAATATTTTAGTTTACCTTGAAAAGCTTCATAGAAAACACCGACCTTACCTAACCTTCTTAGTATGTTAAGATAAGCATCTTATTGCGTCATAATTACAATTATTACTTAACCTATACCTCTATAAGGTTAACTAATAATTGTAATTACGAAGCAATAAGATGCTTATCTTAACATACTAAGAAGGTTAGGTAAGGTCGGTGTTTTCTATGAAGCTTTTCAAGGTAAACTAAAATATTCACAATAAATTAGTATATCACATATGCACGTATTAAATAAGTCAATATTGACTATACGAAAGTGCGAGAACGGGTTGCCACTCCAGACCGACAACCATAGCGCAACTCCATAGTTTCCTGAGGCTTGTGGGAACCTACATTTTCTATGGGTAACTTGTTTATACAATACAGCAGCAATTATTATCTGTCTGTATGATATATTAAATGGTGTCGGATTTTCCGACAAGGCTGATGGATACCTATTACTACTAAATCAAAATGATGAACAACACACCCTCAACGCACTGTGAAAAGCAACGGCACACAAAAATCTACGTTTTCTGTGCAGCGGTTGGTGGGGTTCGTGCTCTTCTGGTTAGGTTAGGACGGTGGATTTTGTACGTTGTGGCAAATCGAGAGAACATTCTGCTGTGTCCAGGCTTATGCTTGACCTCTTCATAGCAATTCACAGTCCAGATCAATAACTGTATAATTATTTTGATCCAATGACCTTGACGTAACCAAAAAATTTTTTGGGTTGTGACCTTGATGATGAACATGATGAACATACTTGAAGGTTATTCACCCCCCCCCCCGTTGTGGTATATACTTATTTAATCATGCTTGCGTAGGAACTTTTGGTAGACCTACGTATCAGAGATGACAGCAATACTTAACTGTGCCTAGCTTATGTAATGAACCCCAGCTTGACGATCCTTAAAACTGCTATCAATAAGCTATGAGCTAGTCAAAAACAGGCTGCAGGGAAGAGGAGGGGGAGTGGGGCTTGGGGAAGGAGGGACAGAAAAAATACTGTAAATATTCAAAGTATGTGGCTAGATGCTTTGGGCTAGCCTCACGAAACTTTGCAGGGGTGAATGATCCGGGGTACTGACTGTACAGAGGATGGTTGAGGTCGAACCCCATGCACAAAATGGTTAATTACACTAGTTTCCAATCTTTTCACCCTGCAGTAATTGGGTACCTGGCTGTTAGTAGATTTGTGGGTTGTATTCCAGGTAAAACTAGTGGGTAAGGCTTACCTGAGCTATGAGAAGGGAGAGCTGTCAGCCTGCTAACAGAAGACACAAGTTGTCTGTTTCTGTACACACCTGCATAGTGTACAAAAAAAAAAGCATTTCAATGACTTAGGCTACTCTTTAATCATTAGCAGTTAAACCCACTACCATCTTTGCAAGAAAAATCTAATAAAATGAACAAATCCTCAACATATTAATGAAACAAACATTTACAGTACTTACGGTTATGTTCTACCATAATTACCCCCCTCCCCCCACCACTGCTGTCTGCCACCAAGCTGTCTTCCATCTTGACAATGGGTGAAGATGATGCCTTCCCAAGTTAAGGTGAAGATGGAGGAAACTGGTAGTTAGTTGTGATACATTCTCAGTTGTAATGATGGGTGAAAAATGAACGTAAAAATTCACACTACTGTTACTTCTTTTCAAGTTTAATGCATTAAATAAATTGCAATGCTGTTTCTTCTGTGCAGAGGTCTTGGAGATCATTTTAATCTTATCTTGCTTGTTATCCTAATGTGTAATATTGAAACTACTTTTCTGCTTTATTTTTGTCTGAAGTACAGTATCATAATCCACATTAGCTTCTCTTCTTAGTTGATCATCTATTTGAATTCTTCATATGTGTTCTGTCTTGCAATCAGTGAAAGCTTTGATTCGGAAAACAAGATAAATAGATGCAGCCAGAGGTCTGTACGGAGGGGTAATGCCAACTATTCAATAACAATTTGGTGTGAACATGGAAAAAATATTGATAGAGCATTAGAAAGGGACAAATCTGAAAAGACTTTGTGTCAGAAGAATACATAGTGCTAAGAATTTAAAAAAATCACAGAGACGTAAGTTGCATAATTCAATGAACTGCAAGATTATGGAGAGCATACCAAGATGGTTTACATGTTGAACAAGTGGATGATGGTAAACTGGTAAAGTGTTTTCAAGTGAACTGAAGAATAACAGGAGGCCAGAGAGATGGGCAGACATCTTGTTTGAAAAAAGAAGAAAGAGTATGATTAACACACAGGGACAAGAGACAAGAATGGGTGCAATCAACGTGTAAAAACAAAATAAATGAGTGAATATATATGTATGCAGCATGACAATTCACGAGAAACATTGTACATCTGTTCCTACAGACTGGTGGGGTCACTGTTGTGGACTGTAGTACTCCAGCACTATCACAGTGCTGGACTGTAGTACTCCAGCACTACCACAGTGCTGGACTGTGGTACTCCAGCACTACCACAGTGCTGGACTGTGGTACTCCAGCACTACCACAGTGCTGGACTGTGGTACTCCAGCACTACCACAGTGCTGGACTGTGGTAGTGCTTGTTTCTCCATGACACTACATTTGTATTATTTTAAAGCCATAAACTTTCTTTACAATAATACTTTTTTTTCACCCCACCCCTATTAAAAGTAGGAAACAGGGTACTGATTACGTAAAAAATAAAATATAGTGGTGTGTAATTATAAGATAATACCGCACATCTCGGGAATGACAATACAATAATTGATAGAAAACTTACCGGTGAAACACAAATAATGATATACTAATGATAATGGTTTACCTGGTTATATTTACTTACCCATTCAATGAATAATTTCCATTCATTTCACTTTTCAGAGAAGAATCCTTAGCCTATAAAAAAAAAAAAAGATGAATGGAACCTTTTTTCCTTCAGAATTGAGAGCTGGGGACAAGTTTTTTTAAATTAACATATTTCATAGAAGTAAAGTGGATAATTCAAAGACTTTGAAAATCATAGACAAATGTCCCAAATATTTCTCATTTATTTGTTTGCTTTTCACATGGAATGTTACAATGAAATATTTCCAAAATAATATGGTGCAAATTAGTAAAAGCTAAAGGAATCGTTATTAAGTCATGACAACAACAAAAATGGATAGACAATGCAAAGTAAACTTTTTTTATTGAACCTCAATCATGACCAATAGATATTATCTATCAAAACGTAACAAAATAATATTTAAGAGTATTCCAGTTTAGTATATTAGCTGAAAAATGTTAGGTACAACTACGGTACATAAATGTCGTCTAAATTAACACCCAGAAACCACCGGCAATCATTTAGTTCGTTCATTCTCCTGGGAAGTACTGAACTGCTAAAAAGTACGTACTCATAAATTATAGGTATGAATTATGATATATATTCTCTCTCGGTAATCTACAATATAACCATCATTGCATCACTATCATTCTGCATCATAACCAATGTATATAAATCTGTTTTGTAATTAAAAATTCAATTTTACAAATCCAAACACATTACAAGTACTATACTAGTAGCTAGGTTACAATACATGCCACATTAACAACGAAATTGCTTATCGAGCTGAATCTCGCAGTTAGGGATTAGTCAAAACGATTAACAAAAAATTAGACTTTTTAAATGCAACATCCGTAAATATTAATTTTAACCAAGACTAGATTACAGGACCTACTACATTGTAGGGGCACCAGTGCGCAACACTGACGAAATGCACGCAAAAGTACAAGAGGCTAGTTTTATCCCGCTTAGGTTGGACTGGCAGACCTTTTAAGTCACGTGTGCATATACAGTACAGGCAGTTGTTGTGACCAATCTCCCCACAAATACTATCCTTCAGCAGTGGTTCCTCATCTAGGGTCTGGTACCTGGTTGATACCTGGTTAATGGGGTTCTGGGAGTTCTTCTACTCCCCAAGCCCGGCCCGAGGCCAGGCTTGACTTGTGAGAGCTAGTGGACCAAACTCTCACAAGTCAAGCCTGGCCTCGGGCTGGGCTTGGGGAGTAGAACAACTCCCAAAACCCCATCAACTATGTACCATAATTTACGACATACAAGAAACCCCCTATTTTACAAGGACACATTTTGTGGGGAAAAAATAATTTAGTAGGCTTCATCATACCAGTCAGGTGCCTCGCACCTACAGAGCCAGCTTCTATCCAGGTGAATCAGAAGCAAGGTAATATTTGTATAAATTTGATTTTGAAAAACTTGTTTCCTATCCACTGGCAAATATGCTAATTAACTGATCTGACAGTAACAAAGCTTTTTTGCCTTATGCCTCAATAATATTTCCTCATTTATCAGCTCCTTAGCAGAGATTGCATTCAAGATGAAACATGGAAGTGCTCGGAAATAATAACTTTAAACTCGAGAAAATAAAATTTATTAACAAAGGCTAGCCAGTATATATTAATGAACATGGATGTAGCAGTAACAATGGCAAAATTAATTAGAAAATTTTGAACCAAAATCATTTTGCCAAACAATATTTTCTTTATTTAACTACTGACTACTTCAGGTTATTTTGTTAATGTCACTAATCTGCATAATTTCTCTATGAAAATGTTAAATGTTTTAAAAAGTAAAGTGAAGTTTGGTTCCTCTGGAGAAAGAGAAAACAAACAAGGAAGATTTAAGTTAATTTCTATGTAATTTTGTTACTAACTACAAATATGAAAATCATATGGCTCTCAATAATTAGTGATTCACCCAAGTTTATTCCCAGCCTTGCCTCAAAAACATCACAAATGCCACTTTCAGTACATTTGTTCATAATCTAAGTTAAACTAGATAACTGTTCTATAAATTGGAGAAAATATTGTATTCAAATCAATAAAAATACTATGGCATGGTTCAATATTTTCATTAGAGGGAGTAAACTAAATTAGTAATAAAAATGAGTAAATACATTCATGTTAAAGGTAGACTTTACTGAACACAAAGTTTTGCCTGAGTGGGGGTTTATGAAATCAAGCAGAGCTACACAGGACAGCTGCTTCTTAAGGAAAATGGCAAGGTGAAGATGGGCAGGGAACTATCGAGAGAAAGTGCCAAGTCATTATGACTATATAACACTGGGAAGGGATCAGGATGAGGATCTGGGATGGGAAGGAATGTGTTCCTCGTAAGAACTCATACAGACAGTACGAATGAAAGCTGTCCTCTGCCAAACATGTTTACTCGTAACATGGTGTATCTCTACCTTATTGCCAACACTTTCTCCCCACTTAATACGAACATAGAATAGTTTAATCACTGTAGACTCATTATGTCCTCAATTCAAACTTTCTTGCATAATACAAAATGCTGAATATTCACTAATTAAGGCTTTACATTTAACATTCACAGTTTCATTAAAATTAGAAGACACTTAAACTTCAATCAGCTGTGTCTGAAGCTAGGAATATAGTAACAATGAACAAATCCACAAGGGCCGTGACGCGGGTTCGAACCTTGTGGATTGTGGATTAGTTCATTTGTTGCATCACACTATTGTGATTTCTGTGTGTAATATAGTAACAATGTTTATCTTAAAAGAGATTCTCCAAGGTCAATATTTCAAATCACTATAATTTATAAAAAAATGGTGAACACCCTCTAAAAGCATCAATTTATACATGTGAACCTTAACATCAAATCAGGAAAATACTCTTCAATAAGTACAAGAGAGCACAAACCTATGTAACACTTTATGAGGTTTTCAAGACAACGCTGAAGTGATGGGGAAAGAAAATTCTTTTAACAGAGTCCTCTTGAATATGGAGTAAATATTTATTAACTAATGCTATCTCAAAATGGAAGAGTCAGTCAATCTTTGGTCTTCAAGTGTAACTTGCTCCGCTGGGTTGTACTCTGCATCACGGTGTTCAGTTCCACTGTCCTCCACCTGAGGGAAAACGAGCAAACATATACATTGATCATCACACCACTGGTTTAGGAACAATAAAAGTGGATAATTATCCTAACCTAGGAAGACAAAAAAAAAGTAAAACTGAATTAAAAAACAAATGAATGGAATCACAAATTAAACATTGTATTGTACTGGTAAGAGGTGCCCCTCAAGAATTATTATGAGACCAGCTAAATGTATTAAACACTTAATAACTGTGATATCTAGTAACGGTAATTAAATTGTATACCCAATAACAGCTCTTCATAAATCTAGTCTCTGCAATTACTTTGTTAAGCAGTCATGGTTTTGTATAATCAAAAGCATAACCAAAGGCAAAGTATACAAGAAAGAAAGCATTATGCCCAAAAAGCCTATGCTCTACAGATGTCTGTGTTAGAGTAATATAAAAAGTGCCGAGATGTATTCAGGATATCAATATGAGCAGAAATACACAGGATGAATAATGTCCAAGGAATCAGTCGCAACGATTTTATCAACGGACATGTAACTCAAACGAGCAGGAAAGCCAGATTTCTTATAGTATCCCTGGGTGGGTGCCTCATAGCCACTTAGGAAACCAAACCAGGGGCAGAATCCAGATGTACCACCACTCAATGGTCGAAGCAAAAGTGGCAGTGGAAGCCACTGGAAGCACTGCACATTCTCAAGATAACTGAAATGCTCTTACAACAGTGAGGGACAGACAGCAGTGCTTCCTGCTGCAACAGCCGGTGCCCATAGCATGATCATACACAATGGCCACAACCTGATAAAAGTCACTGCCCAAGGTGACCATTCTGCAAAAGCAGAGGTCAAGCACAAAAATAACACAGATCCAAGGGAGGAAAGGGAGTCCTGCACCCAACAGGTTGAATAATGAAGGCAAAAGGAATGATCATCAGTGGTCAAAAACATTGATTTGTATCCAGAAAGATTGAAATCAGTAGTTAAGGGCGCACAGTTGGATGGAGAAGCCGTAACAACCTAAGGTTACAGGACTGATAAAAAATCCACATGAACAAGAGAAACCAGAAACCTAGACCAACACACAAACAGGTTGGTGTATCAGCCACAAGGTAGGTTCCACAGCTGAACAAACTCTGAACCCTGACCATAAACATTTAGAAGTGACATACATAGGCTGCCACGGGCATGAACAATCACTAATATGACTCCAGCACACCTTCAGCAAAAGCCACAACATACACAAGGAGCAGGCCTAGGCATGATCTTAATATGTTAGACAACACACGGCTGACTACTATACTCGATCACCAACAGGGCTCACAGTGCAGAACAAGTTCCATGTATCACTTGGAAGCAAGATGACTCGAGAAGAGGAACCCTAATACCTCAGAGCAGGTATCTAGTGGGTTAGGGAAAATGAACACAAACTACCAAGGAAGAGAACCCTGACTCACAGTTGAAGCAAAATACAGAGCAAGAGCACACACAATATAGGCGACATAAAACAATTATAAAGAAGATTAAAAACAATATAGCAATGGTCCAAAGCAGCGCTTATGCTCCAGTGATAGCCAACAACACTTAGCTTAACCCCATTAGAGGTTCTGTGGAGTGAAGATGCAGTCTGGATGAGGCCCCCTGGACTGTCTGGGATGCCACCTGGTGGCAAAATGGCACATGGTTAAAGTGTTATTTCAGGAACCTAATTTTCTTAAATCGGTTACTTTATAGCTGCGCTCATGCTTCCTGGTCGAGCTTGCCTTGGGTTTGGGTTCACATATTGCAAGTTCCTTTGTTTCATAGATCGCTGGATTCTAGTCCTGGCTTCCAGTAGGCAAAGGTAAGTCTGATGCCTGGTGCACCTCCCAAATGCTTGACTGGTTACCTTACCTTGCGATGATTTCGGGGCTCAACGTCCCCATGGCCCGGTCCTCGACCAGGCCTGGACCAATGTTTAGTGTGGGAAGCTACTTAGGAGGTTCTCCCAGAAACTTGATCATTATAGCCCCCAAAAAACACAAAATTTGTCTAACCTTTTGGTTAAGATACAAAATCTTGACTCCTGCAACAAAAAAGGATCCAACTGAAGAGGACAAGACCTTGTTGCCCACGAGGACCACAAGGCTCATTCATAGAGAAGAGATAAGATGGTCTCTCTCCCATCCCCATAGACACAAGAAGGGCTCCACAAACGACACTCAACTGCCTTTAGGGTTGTTAGTGCATGCAATCCCCTTCACCACTTAAATTTAGTGTTTCAAGAAAGCCACATGGAATATAACAAATGTTATTACAGTAACACAATTTTGTAATTTATACACTTATGTACACAAAATACTACAGACTAGATTCACCTTCTTCCCAAGTAAGTAAATATAAAAAGATGGAAACAAGCCTGGAAGACCATTTAACACCATGTATGTCACAGAATATTCTGAAGATCCTAATATCACCCCAGGATGCCAATATGACAGCATAAAGATGTAAGATGAACAATACCAAAGACATTGCATTCATCAAGTATTCTAGTGAGGGACAAGTGACTCAAAAGGGACACCAACCCAGTATGACTTAAGGTCATCCTGAAAACTCTGGACATTCTATGAGGAGGTGCACAGCTGTAAAGGAAATGATGCAGCTCGGTCAATAAGGTGCCGGTCCTTGCTTCACTACATGCTTATGAGTTAAGCACGTGTGAAGTACCCAATACTACTGTTGTGAGGAGTTAAAGTCAGAATCTCACAGAACTTGCTAACAAGTTTGGCTGTACTTTAATAGAAAATAGCCAAGAGCTAAAACATAAACAAATAAAAATTATTGTATAAGCAAACCGATCAGTTTCTAGCCCGAGGATTCTCCCCTAGTAAATAAATTTACTATTAAGTTTAAACCTGATGATCATGAATTTAAAATGACAGTAATTTACACAGATTCAGGATGAAAGATTACATATCCCCAACTATTTTTAACATTACTTTTGAAGGAATTTGTTGGGTATACAACCATGAACACCTGAGCAATACATAATGGAAATGCCGACAAAAATATATATCTCAATCTGAAATCCAAAAAGTCTTTAATTAATTATTGTTTATGTAAAAATATTATGATAAAATGTTTTTTTATATATGTTAAAGGCTCAAATATGAGCTTCCTAATTTGAACTAACAGCTGTTATAGTAGGAACGCAACTCTCTAAGCAGAATACTTTATCACCTATATCTCCATTCTAAAAATTAAGTTGGATAGATCAAGCACTTTATTAACCCTCAACTGATTAAGTGATGAAACTTCAACACAAACAGTAAATATAATACAAATAACTGTTAAAAAAATTTAATAAAATTAAGTAACCAAATTGACTTGAACTCTGTACCTGGAAGGCTAAATGTTACACATAGCAGACATGGGATTCTTTAGCATCCCAATCCTCTTAAACGATTTATTAAAAGTATCTAAGACATGTAGGCTTAGGGGATGCAGGGGGTACACAAGTGGAACTGTGCAAGACAAATGTGAACCACTCCATCAACAGAGGCCAATATGTTTGCTTTAGACCTCATTTGCTATCAGGCTAAAGACGTGACCGTATAGGCATGGTGATCCAGAAACAGTGAGGTGCAGTTTGCGTGGCAGCCATATGGTGGTGCTCAAGTGGGTGATGCAGGAGTTAAGAGAGGGACAGGTGAGCCTTGTGAGCTGTGTTAGTGTTGTCATTAAGTGAGGTAGGCAATATGGGGCCACCTTCCTAGTGGCCTGCTTCAAGAGAAAAATATATACTGAAGCAATAAAAGTTTTAAACATGTATTTAAGCAAACTTCTAGGATATTTAAAATAGGCACAAGTACAGTTGAGCATCAAGGAGTTTATATTCCCCAAAGAAAACTGAAATATGGCTTGAATTTTGGTTTTTTCCTTTTAAGTGGAGATGTACTCACTGCTTGCTGCTTTTAAATGCATTACCATTTTATATAATTGAATGAAAAACATGAAAGAAGGTGAGTTCATAAAGAAAACTTGTACACTAGGAGCTGTTAGGAAGCTTCTCATTACCAGAAATGTGTAAATGGCATTAATAATGTATCTAATAAATTTGTGAGTAAAATTCCCCATTATATGACAGATGCTCTACTGTAGGTACAAACACAGCAGCAGACCTAAACATCATACTAGTTTTAAGCCATGGCATGACAATGCCTCCACTCTAAACAGCGAGTTCTGGCTACGCTTCTACAACTGACAACTCTCAACCTGGCTGGCTCTCTGCCTGTTCCCCATCTCTCGCACGGAGTGACATCAGCCCACGCCAGTCCTTCACTAGGGGGTTCTCTACTGTAACTGGGAAGTTCGCCTACGTGACGCCCGCTGTTTGTCGAAGCGCATCTCCATCTCCTCCAAGACTCGGGGGGTGTAGCGGACCACCAGTTTAACGGAGCCACTGGCAGCCTTCAGCAACTCCACAGCACGCTCATGGTTCTCACCCTCAACACTCTGCCAGTTTTACCAATTAGTATTACCAACTAAATTAAAAAAAAAAAAAATATTCATCTGTTTTTTCAAACATATTTGTACCACTGATATAATTTTCCCTAAATATAAATAGTTTCATTTTAAAAGACCCTAAGCCTTTCCTGACATTTAATATAGCTTTTGTTATTTATCTTTAACCCTTTGGCAGCAAAGTCTGGCTTTTGACATACATAAAACCATCACAAAATCTTGGAAATTGAAAATAAGTCCACTGATGGCATATACAGCCGACTGGTGGAGGTAGCAAAACACCATTACTCTCAGGCCCCCACCACCACCTCGGCACCGTATTTCACTCCATTTATCCAATTACTGACATTTATTAAAGTTTTACCTCACATAATTGACAGTGTTCTTGAACATCAAAGCATGCAATTTTATTTCAACATGTCATATACGAAAACAGTATAAACAGTTGCGTCAATATACCTGTACAATCAATATACTGTTTGACATTATTTATCCTATTTTTTTTTTTAACTTTTTTATTTAAGAGCTTTGTGTTTGTAACAAACTATAATTGCTACACATGATTAGTGGCTTTATACAAAAAATAAACACCCACTATAAACAATGCAACCAGACTAATATTTGTGCATATTTTATTTTCAGTATAATAAAATGTAAATTGTAAAAACAATTGTAAAACATGTAAATTACATGTTTTTTCAAGATAACATTGTGTGTTAGTAATTTTTTTTTCATTTATATAGAATGCAATGTTTTAGGGGTAAAAACTAAACAAGGAAATTCAGGTTCATTATCCACTTAAATTACATAAAAACCCATTGGGCATTTATTGATAAATTTCCATGTTTATGAACCTATTTTAGAATTTGGGAACACTTTTTGTCTGGTATTTTTTACCCACTACCTAAAAAATTTGTAAATGATTATAATGCTGTACAGTATATTGAAAAAGAAGCACTTTTGCTATATAAGAAATACACATCAAAATATCTATTCATAAAAGGCAAATTAATCTTTTTCCTTACCAATTTTTTCTTCATTTATGTCCCAATTCCATGTTTTGGAAACATTTGTTCTAGCACCGAGTTACTGTGTTTGATTATGGCTTCTACGTTAATGAAAGACACGGAATAGTTTATTCACTCCAGAAATTCAACATAAAATGTCTAACCAAACTTGTTTTCGAAGCCAAAAAAAATGCAGCCAAAGGGTTAATTACTTCAATGTTCCCTTGAGGGCAGTGCCCATAGCTCAAAATATTCCCAGACATTTAAAATACCTCCAAATCTTAAGAAAATTTTTGTAAGTAGCATCTAAAACATCACGGAAAATTTGTTCACATGCTGGTTTGTTTATACAAGAGCAGCAGCTGCTACTGGCATGCACTGAACCACAAGAATGTGTGAGGGAAAATGAGAAATACCCTCAGGAAACACAGACCAGAAAAAGTAGAAGAAATTGGAAATATATAAAGACACAAGGGGATAAGAAATGGATAAACAATGGGTAAACTGTAATTACTGAAAAGGCAAGATAGAAGTGGAGAGAAAGTGAGAGACCAACAAGCGGCACTGAAGTAGTAGTGCCGCAGTGGGAAAGGCTCAGAGCAGTCAGGAAAGGCTCCCAGCAGTGGGAAAGGCTCAGAGCAGTCAGAAAAGGCTCCCAGCAGTGGGAAAGGCTCAGAGCAGTCAGGAAAGGCTCCCAGCAGTGGGAAAGGCTCAGAGCAGTCAGGAAAGGCACCCAGCAGTGGGAAAGGCTCCCAGCAGTGGGAAAGGTTCAGAGCAGTCAGGAAAGGCTCCCAGCAGTGGGAGGAAGGCTCAGCATAGTGCTTCCATGGTGATTAAAGCTAGGCAGTCTACTATATACAGTACAATATTTGCAGTTGATTGTGTAATGTTTATTTAAAGTATTTTAGATGTTTCTATAAGAAAACAGCACTGGGCACATGATTGGTTTGTGTATGTACTACTGTATATGCATAAATATACAAGAATGTGCACTAATACTGCCAACCTCACATACATTTTATTTCCGGACTATATCCACACCAATGACAATTTTCTCACTCGTATGCAGGGATTAGAAATATTTACATGTTAACCCTTTTATGGGTAAAAATTCGTGAATACACACCAAGTGAGATGGGAAGAGGTATTGCCCTTATTTGGCTGGGTCTTTGTAAACCAATCGAGTTTTTATGATAAAATGGTGTGGATATGGTTATGCTATACTCTAGAACCTAGCTTAAGACAAATTTGAAACAACGCCGATTCCTAGCGGCAATTGAACACGAGATCCTTGGATTCCTAGGTCAGTAACGTAACCACTCGTGTTATATTTACAAAATAATTCATGTAAAGACTTAATATAATAAGCAAATTGATTTGAGCTCTCATAGGCATTACTTTTAACAAGGAAATAAATTACATCCTCATATATGATAAAAAATGCTACTTTTTTGTGGAAAAATAAGTTTCTTACTACTGACTTCAGGTTTATACAAATTTTACATTATAGCTAAGAAAACTAGCATAACCACAAATCTTGGACATAAGCTTAGTATTTCATGGCATGAAAACAAAAAGGCATTTAAGATTACAAATAATCATATTAAAAAGTAAAAATTGAAGTATGCCACTTGGATGTTTACTAGCTGAATATTCAGAGTTGTCCAAAGAAAACTTCTAAAACTGTTTATAACAAGTTATATTAAAATAAAGCATTAAAAAAAAACAAAAAAACTAACCACTCCATTGACAGAGAGAAGCTGATCGCCTCTTTTCAGCCCACCATGTCGGTCAGCAACGCCACCTGGGATGATACGAGATATATATATGGGAGAATTTTGTTCGCGGCCGCCCATCACATTAAACCCGAGGCCTTCGTCGGTCTTGGGCAATTCAACAACTCGTGGATGAGCATGACCCTCACTGGCAGCAAATGCAGCAACTGTTGCCTGAAAATAAAAAAATTACAGCCTGTGGATTACCATTATTGGTGATACAGTACTTGAAATAACATATCATTGATGCTTTACTTAGCCTTATCTAGGATATATAATATACCCAGGAATGGTTAGGCAAGGATTGGTTAAGTTTTCTCACGATATGCGATTTGACCTAAAAATCTCAGAATTTTGCAATACATTGTGTTTTTTGGCGAGTTTTCTTGCATTTTGATTTGTACTAAAAATCATCGAATTTAGCAATATTTTGACAGGGGAGGAGGAGGGGGAGGGGAAACTTGGATTTTGGACTTTATATACATATACAGTGGTACCTCGGAATGCGAGTGTCCCTGTATGTGAGTTTTTCGGAAGACGAGCAGGATTTACTCCAAAAATATGTCTCGGAAGGCGAGGGTTACCTCGGGACGCGAGTTTGTTGATACGTGTACAGGCCGACTGGCGCGTGGTGGCATGGCGATCGCGCCTCAGTTTACCAATGTCTCGTGTCCAGTGACTATCCCACCTGAATTCTTCACAAGGATTTACAGTTTTTTATTGTTTTTTTGGCCATTTGAGCATAAAAGTTGTCATTATATATCTTGCCATGGGTCTCAAGAAAGCCATTGGTAAGGTTCAACCTAAGAAAATAGCTGTGAGTAGAGGTAGTAGAGGATGTCCCTTCTTGATTAAGAAAATGTGTGAAGTATGGGAAGAACTGCAAAGTTTTGTTGAAAAAACTCACCCAGATAAAGCTGTAGCAGGCCGTTGCATTGACCTTTTAAATGATAATGTGATGTCTTACTACAGACAAGTGTTAAAATGTAGGGAAAAACAAGTGTTATTAGACAAATTCTTAGTAAAACAAGCAAGTCCTAGTGGTATGCAGGCAAAATGTGCCAGTGTGTGCATACCAGTGAAGTCCTCACTGCCTGACGTGATAATGAAAGGGGACTCCCCTTCCAAACAGTAACTCCTCTCTTCCTCCCACCTCCTCACCATCTTTCATACGCCTACAGCATTCAACAGCAAGGTAAGTAATAACTTGAACATAGTTTTGTAGGTTTATTTAGATGAATTAGGTATAAAAATTTAGTTTGATGTGGGGTTTTTGGGGTAGTCAGGAACGGATTAATTCATTTCCCTTTATTTCTTATGGGGAAATTAGCTTCGGAATGCGAGTTTTCGGAATACAAGGTGTCTCCAGGAACCAATTAAACTCTTAAACTGAGGTATGCCTGTACTGTACCCCTATAGGTAATTCTATTATAAACACATTGATACTATATTGAACGAAGTAGGACAAAAATTGAGGTGAGAATCCCACAAAGAGTACACACATTTTGATGGTGTTGCGTGCTCATGGGTAACCCTCAGCCGATTTGAGAGTTTGGAGTGGTTGGCATGCTGGGCTTTTGGACTTCATATGTATATATCCCTGTAGGGAATTTTATTGTGAACAAAAAGATAAAATTGAGGTGAGAAAACTTAAAAGAATATATATATATTAGAGTCTGGGCGAGCGCTCGCGGCCAATGATTGGTGCACCTTGAGGTAGTCTAGGGAGCATGTGGTGGAGATGGGAAAGTGTTAAAATGAATAAAACATCAACCGATTATGTAATCTCCACTTGTAACCAATATAAATACACAATAAATATAAACAAAAGATTTATAGTACACTAGTGTTTCTTCATAATTTGCAATCATTCGAAATGAAAAATTAAAAACTAAGGCTCAGTTTTCTTTACTCAAAAAGGTTGCATGAAAGGACACACACAACAGCAGCAGAAGCATCAGAAATCATATAAATTCTGTACCCCATATTAGAGCAAAAGTTTAACTACCAACATATACTAAAGAAAATTTAACAAGATTTGATCTTACAAGGTATTAAAAATTTACATTGTCTCCCATAACTCCTCCATTTTATTAAAAGTACAGTACTGGTCTGTTCATAAACTCTAATATGCTGTGATAATTTAAAAATGGTTCACATTCTATTTTAGTTTACTTCAAAGTACTGTAATTCAATTAAAATACTTAGGTAATATTGGCCATATTACTTTTGCTGTGGCAGAAGCTCGAATTTCTGGAGAGCCAGAAATGTCCACAGTCTCGTACACATGTTCGTACACTTCCCGCACTGCAGTTAGAAACTCAGACTGAAGAACACGCTGGAGTGCTGCTAACTTTGCAGATGGTATTTCCCCAGCTGTGAGATGAGAGAGATCCTTAGTGTACTCTTTTCATACATCATTATGAGAACATTTGCAAAATTAAGAAAAATAAACAATATACAGTATAACACTACATGTTTATAATAGAATATTAAATATGAACATTGTGACAATAATGTGCAAGCAGAAGACTACATCAAAATTAAACAATACAAGTAATATATTCAAATTTGAGTTGCACCAAATGCATCAGTACATATACTGGAATAAAAATAACTCAAGATTTCTCACTGAACTGTCTATAAGTTCACAGTATACAGAGTAGACAAGTTTAAACATCGGGATTTACTGCACCTTGGTTTAGCTAAAAGAAATGCGACAATTTGTATTTATCCATGCCTTCAGTAGTAGTTTTTTTTTTGTTTTGTTTTTTGGGGGGGGGGGGGGGCGTGAGGGGAGTGGTGGGAGTGTTTTACAGTACAGTAGTGTATCTAAAATTACAGACATTACAAGTAAGTGCCAAGGGCATGAGCCCTAGTGACAAAGATTCAGAGAGAGAATTACATAAAGGATCAAAATATGAAGACTTAGGTGAGGGTGCTTTTAAGCAGTAAATGTAGTACAGTAAAGTACAGTACAGTACTGCTTTGTAGTTTAGGAACTGCTGTCAGTGCAGAGCACATAATAGCAGCAACAAGGAAATTTGATCTTGTCTTGGGAATTGATAATATTAAGAATACTGTACTGTACTCTCTGACCTCATAATTTAAACAAAACATGGAAATTAGCAAGAATATGTGACAAATTAAGCACTATGATACTGTACATGTATTAAAAATGTATTAATCAAACTTGCTGCATCATTAAGCATCATTACCAAGGCAATAGATAGCAACATCCTAAACACTAAAACGTTATTAAGAAATACATTGTTAAACCAGCCCGCTGTATCAGTAACCATCAACACACAAAGATCACCGGCAACGAGAGGTGAGAATAGCTTGAGCTACCTCCTCCCTTTGTGTGTACTGTATTAATACCTCAAGATATATATACTTCATAGGGGCAGTTCATTGTTGCCTTCAACCTCGTTCTGACAGTTGCTGCGACGGCACTGGAACCAATTGTATTGGCGTTTGCCTTTCCATTGGAGACTTTCGGCGCTGTGGAGACGGGGGACCTGCTGCATGGGCAACAGCTTCTCTCCAGTATCAACCTACCCTGGCTTTGCATCCTGGTGAGGCCACTCCAGACCAATAACCAGAGCGCAACTCCGTAGTCTCCTGAGACTGATGGATGCCTACTACTACTCTGTACCTCTAAATAAACTTATTTCAAGACAACCAGGCTATGGTATTCTAAGAAAACGTAAGAAAAAAAAACTCCTCGTACTTACTCTTTTGAAGTTTATCGAGCAGCTCGACAGCTCTCTTGACATCTGAGGAGACACAAAGTTCGTGTTTAGTCTTGCACAATACCATTACCAAAATTATCTAAATAACTTATGATTAAACAAGTGGTCCATTCTCTTACCACGTCAACAACTTTAAATATTAAGGACAATTTACATTCATTAATTCATTAGTTTGTGTAAACTCTCCCCCCGTGTCCCCACACAACACCAGAGCCAGAGCTCAACCCCCGCAAGCACAAATAGGTAAGTACAAATAGGTCAGTACACAAGTGAACATCACACACACACGTGTGTTCTTTGTACACGCGCGTTCTTTTGAACACACATTTGAACTTGAACGTACAACTATTTGTACCAACCCTGGCCTATTCTTTAGCCAAGAATACAACAAAAATTAGATACACTCTAATTTCAATTTCATTCCATAGGCCTCAAGTTCAATTCCGACTACAGTATATAACATTATACATATTCATAATTAAAGAACGTAATCAAAGAGAAAAAATAACAATGAACGCTGACCAATTCTCTTTTCCTCCCCGCCATAGGCCTCCACCATAGGCCTACTCATTTCTCTGCTTCGTCCACAAATATTCATTTGAAAAATATTAATTTATTAATTAGAAAAATATTTTAGTACACTCGCTGTATAATACACATTCCTTATGTATATTAGAGCCCATTATGTGCCTCTGTAACCCTTTCCACTACAGCCCACAAGATGGGTATGGGGTGCATAATAAATGAACTATTAGGGCTTGGAGTAGGTGAAATATATATAGTTTAAAACCATTATAGTGACTATAAGTAGTATTATTATAGTATAATTATTAATATTATTATTATTATTGACTATATATTATTATATTCATAGAAAATCAATGGTGTTAAAAGACGATCTCGGTTCACAAATTGCATCTAAAGTCATTAAGGACTGCCACTCTAATGCACTTTCTTGGAGTACAAAATAAAATACAAAATCGTAAAGCCATCGTAAACAGACCTAAAACCTTAAAAAACAAAAAAAAAAGACTTTTCCACTTTGCAACACAGTGACAATCTCTCGTTAGGCGGCAAAGGCACACGGGTAGATTTACTCGTGGGGGAGAAGGAGGGACGAGGGGGAGGAAATTGCGGTTAAATTATCGGTAGATAAGGTAGAATTATCATTAATTACCTTGCTGGAGAGTGAGGGGCTCCGCCACGGACGCCATCTTTGTTACACCTTCCGAAGAGTCCAAAAAGATCCTCCCGGAGATGATCCCATTACGTCACGATGACGTCACACGCTTCTCACACCTTATTATAAAAAACACGTACAAATGTCTGTAATTTTCATTGTGTTAGATTAGGTAAGATTGTGATGGGAAATATAGACTTTGTTAGGTTAGAATAGCATAGGATAGTTTAGGTTAGTGGTTGAAAAGAGAAGCGATGACGTGAAGGAACTACTTTTTGAGCACTTTTTGAACCCTTGTGACCACCTCTCCCCAACCAAGCTGTCAATACTTCTTCTATTCATCCTAAAATCATTATAATAATATTAATCTTTTATTTATACAGTATATTACACATGATATTAATAAATTTATAATTTGTATGTATTTAATTGTTAATAATGCCGTTAATCGCGGGCAGGAGAAACCAATTATTTACCTGAATTTACCTGAGAGGTCACTATCTAGTGGCCTCGACGGGGACAGGAAGCTGGCGGCTTGTCAAATCTCTTCCAATTTGTCTTGATTTTATCGCGCTGGCTTTTGAATTGTAGCAGTGATTTGGCATTTACTTTGTGGATAGGCTTAGGCTGTTCTATGGGTTTATTAATTACAGTAATTCATCTTGTCAATAAACTCGCCCCTCGGGGCAAAATTTAAAATTTTTTAATCTTGTTAGGGGACAGGCAGCCAGTGTATATTCAAGGATTGTGGGATTAAAGTGTTATTATTCCCATTGTTGATTTATGTCCAGTAATAATGGGTCGTAGGTAATTATAGATTGTAGATTCCCAAGCACAGGTATCATATTTGAGATACAGATACACGAGTTAATAATAAAGTGCTAGCAATGAAGAGCAAGGGTCCATAGATTTTAGAGATAATCCCTTACATTTTAGAAACTTTTTTTTTGTATTTTGTATATGGCAATGGAGATTCAGTTTGTAGTCAACGTGAACACCAAGGAGTTTCCCATCTACTCTTAATTTGGATTTTGTTAATTGTTAGTTTCATTTGATTAGTGGACTTGTTTCCAAACAATATTTAATATGTTCATACAAGTACTGTATGTATTATCTTCCCTGAGGAAAGGCTGTTTTAGAGATAAGTGTTGGGTTTTGTAAAAAAAAGGAAAAAAAATGTTTTGTATTTTGTTGAATTTGATTTAATGGCTCTTATCTCCATTTTAGGCTATGTTGGTTTAATATTTTTTGTTTTTGTTTAACCTGATTTTGTTTTCTTCTTCACAAGAAAATAGAAACCTTCTGATCTCGAGGAAAAAATGGCAAAGTACCAACTACCAAATAGATAAAAAAACACATGAAATTGCATGCACTAATGGAAAAGGTAAGCATATTATGCTAATTCATACCCAGTAATGGACTGCTATAGGCTTAGAATACAAATTTATTTTACATAAAATATTTATTTAAACTTCAAAATGGAGTGCAAAGTTAATAAACTTTACAATAATGTGCAATACAGTACTGTCAGACCCAAGAAACTAAACATAAACACATTATTTGCTTTTCCTGTTTTTTACTTTCTTTTTTAATGATTCAATATCAACATGAGAGTTAACTTGAGGGGTGACCGGCTTGTACTTGGGCTCCTCGGGTGCCACAAATGCTTTGGCTCTCTTTTCCTTCTGCTTCTCGGCATTCTCTTTTTTCTTCTCTTCCGTAGGTTTCCTCTTCTTGGAGATCTTCCTTTCTTCCTGGTCAACGAAGAACTTGCCCTCGGCCATTTGTTTGTCAACTTTCCTCTCTGTGGCAGCCGGTGGAAATGGAGTGTAGGGCTTCTTCGCCTTCTTGACTTTCGGTTTCTTTCTCTGGACGTTTTTGGATGTAAAGTTGGGTATAAACCTTGACCAGTCTTCATCCTATTAAGAGAAAGAAAAAATTACTTGAAAAACTTTATACTTCTCCAAACAAAAGAAAGACGAGCTGAGAAGTCTACATACTTGAACAAGATGTTTCAATTGCATGAGGGCGATCAAGAAAGGCATCCTCTGACCAGCACAGTACAGTATATTAAATTGGGTCTAATGGTTACATGGTACAGTACTATAATGGAAATATAATGAACTGAAGCATAATAAATTGGGGAATAAGTACAGGCTAATGAAAGGAAGAAGTCCATCCAAGAAAAACTACTGTTGTTTTAACCGAGACTAATCATGGCACAATATTCTTGGAAGGAAATAATGCCTAATTCTTCCTTACCTTGAGGTTTGGGTCTTGAACTAACTGTCTTTTGATCATGAGAGCTTTAAGTAGATACACGGGATGAATGTTCTTCATTGTGCTCGTCACTACACGCAACACCTGGTGACCATAAGCAGTACATTAAAATAATATAAGGTACATGTTATGTCATAAAAATAAGGCTGACAAACAAAGTAGTAAAAATGTACCTTTAACAGACATTATTATTATTACACTTAGTCTATATATTTTAAAAGTAATCTGTGATTACAGAGTAGTTTCCATATGGCTAAAATTAAAACAAAATATAAATTTTACGACTCAAGTGCCCTAGGAAATGAATTTATGTTCATAATGTTTGTTATTGGGTGTTTATTAGTCCAATACATCACCTCATTTATCTGTTAGATTTTGCATGTTGTTATATTCTCGCAGTCCGGCTTGGGGGCCGAGCTTCCCTGGTGTTTACCTGGTCAATGAAGCTATTTGTGTTAGCAGGCCACAAGGCCACATAACCATCACAACCTGGCTGATCATATAACTCCTTCAAGAACATGTCAACTCCCATCTTGAATATTTTAACCTTTATTATAGATACTTGTGATTGCCAACCTTTCACATGATGTATTTTTAACCTTTATTATAGATACTTGTGATTGCCAACCTTTCACATGATGTATTTTTAACCTTTATTATAGATACTTGTGATTGCCAACCTTTCACATGATGTATTTTTAACCTTTATTATAGATACTTGTGATTGCCAACCTTTCACATGATGTATTTTTAACCTTTATTATAGATACTTGTGATTGCCAACCTTTCACATGATGTATTTTTAACCTTTATTATAGATACTTGTGATTGCCAACCTTTCGCATGATGTATTTTTAACCTTTATTATAGATACTTGTGATTGCCAACCTTTCACATGATGTATTTTTAACCTTTATTATAGATACTTGTGATTGCCAACCTTTCACATGATGTATTTTTAACCTTTATTATAGATACTTGTGATTGCCAACCTTTCACATGATGTATTTTTAACCTTTATTATAGATACTTGTGATTGCCAACCTTTCACATGATGTATTCTACACATTGTACTGTGCCTGCCACTTCAGTACACTGTATATTGTAATTTTATTATGTAGGTTTTGAACCTGGCCTTACAGTATTTTCCATGTATAAGTTATGAGGTCTCTCTCTCAGGACCCACTCCAGGTATTTTTCTGTCTTCTAATAATAAGTATAGTATAATTTAAGGCAGTCCCATAATTTTAGTTCAAATGCTTAACTGATTATTTGCAGGCAGTGAATGATCTCTAAACTTTCTAGCTCAGATATTTCACCGGCTTTGAGAGGCAATGTAAGCAAAGAGCATTGTTGTTGTTGTTTTAGAGTCAGCTATGCAGAACAAAAAGTTCCAAGTAGCACCTATGTTGGAACTCACCATAGATGCAACTATGGTGAGCCCATAGTATACTTATCTGGCACAGGAGCGGGGCTGTAACTGAGCAAAGAGCAGTATTCAATATGAGAGCACAGTGTCTTGTAGAGTATCAGTAACAATGATATGGAATCCCTCATTTGTGGAGTTTCAGTTTCCAATCTATTATTCCTGAAGATGAGGCACTACATTACATGTAAAATGTTTTTATATGTTAAACAATATTTAATAACATTAACAAAACATTATAAATTAATAATACATTTAAAATTAACAAACCTCTAAAATTAACAACAAAATTAGTAAACAATTACACTATTAATTATTAGAAATGTATTATTCATTTAGGTAAATACTTTAGAGTACAGACATTGAAAGAGTTGGATGTATATATATCATCTGGGTACCTGGGCGTGAACTGATCCCGGAACTTAACTTTTCCACCCAGCCTAAATGCTTATATAGAACAAAAATCTATGACCCTTTCTACATGTATACCTCTTCTTCTGCATGATGTATATCCAAAATTCAACCTGCAGCTTGCAACTGAGGGCTGCTTTTACACTTGCAAATACAGTAGGGGGTGGAGAGCTCATATGGTGAAATTATTAAGTAATACTATTAGGGAAATCTATTTTACTGAGTTACTATCGAGATTAATATAATATAGCAGACCGCCGAATGGTGATGCAGTACAAATGTTCCCAGAATTCATCCTCTTTACTCCCCCAAATCTAATTCTTCAGTAGACTAACAGCAACAAGTTTACTGCCTAGAAAACTAATACAGTGTACAGTACACATGAAAATCTGACCCAAAATATATGAAGTCTTATTGGGCAGTGGTCAACACAGTTTGATCGAGACAGAAAGGTCCCGGAATCGATTTCCACGGCAGGACAGAGATGGTGGCCATGTTTTCTTTCACCTGATGACTCTGTTCACCTAGCAGTAAATAGGGATGCAGGACTTAAAACAACCGTTGTGGATTGCATCCTTGGTAAGATGAGTTAGCTGGAGTAGGAAGACCTTGGTAAGCCTAACAAGGTTTCCTGTCTCCAATTACGGGAAATGCAAATAATGGCAAATTAAAAAAAAACATTCACATACCTGTAAAACTCCTTTGTGAGGCCCAATGGCAGCAACTGTTCCACCTTGAACCAGCACATAGCAGTTTGTAAGTAACTCGAGGGCTTTAAGAGTGGTGCCGTTTGCACCAATTAGCCTCTGTCTTCGTTTTACAAATCTATCTTTATTATGAATCATGTTGCGAATCTGAGAAAATGAAAAGGACCATCTTATTACATTACATAAATTACGTCTTCTTTACAGTAATATTGGCCATATCATTCACAGTCATTTCAATAATGGTGCACCTCAAGTATGTGTTTAAAAGTCAAAGCAAAAAGTAAACAACAAAAAGTAAAGAATATAATAGACTGTACTATACAGTACTGTATTTCCTGTTTGGGAACCTCTGTTGTTTACCAAACTGTATATATAACTGATAGAATTTTGAAACAGATGAAAGATTGGCAGATCCTGTTTAATGCTGACAAAAGTAGGGTGTTGAACACAGGAAATAACAGTTGTCAGATAAGGGTTGAAAAAATCTGAAATTGCTAACTCTGAATGCAAGAAAAATTAGGCAAGTCATAATGAGCAGGGATCTTGTACCTTAATTCAATGTAAATTCAGTACTACTGTATTTTCAAAATACGGCCAATAGGATACTGTATTGGGATTCTTATTTAGAAGCATTAGTAATAAAACATCTAATATTATTCATCTTCATTATTCTTATCTCAACTGCTCTGAAATGTATATTACCTTGATGATTTCATGTGTAACATCATCTTGAAGAACTTTAACGGCTTGCTCAACGGGGACTGATCTTCCGAGCAGCATAATAATGTCTCGAGCTTTTATTATTATATATGGATCCCAAGTCTTCCGTGTTGTACATACCGTCATTCTTCCTTCTATGAGATCAAGGTCAGCTTTGACACCATAATCCTGCCAATGAAAGAATGAATTAAGAAAATTACTTAAATTGTTTTCATTACAACCAAATTTGTTTTACAAATAAGATGTTCCTTATGTTAGGAATCCTAACATAAGCAATAAATTGCTTATGTTAGGATTCCTAACATAAGCAATAAATTGCTTATGTTAGGATTCCTAAATATTTAATGCTCATGCACCTCTCACATTATGAGGAAAAGTGTCATTAAATTAAATTATTGGTTTATCTACATTTTTCCATTTGGTCAGTATAATTTAGAGTCCCATGTCTAAGCAAAATATTTGTGGAACCTGTGGCTACAAGTAATTTGCCACATAAACCACAAGGGTAATACATTTAAGAATTTATTCTTGGCCCCTGTTTATGAGAAACTAAGTTATTCTTCACGCCAAAGTTCCCTCTGTGAAATGAGGGTTGAAATTATGTATTTACCGACCCTATTTGGGTGTGACAGAAGCCAGTATGAGTTATGTGTAGCATTTTCATGTTTAACCTTGTTTATTATACATTTTAGTGGGTATTTTTATTCACAGTAGGTGAAGTTGGTAGCAATTTCCCATAAACAGTACCAGGTTTAAATACCCATGTGCATGGGAAATAGGCTTACATGTTCCAGAAGATGAGAGGAAATGTCAGCACTGTGGAGAAATGCCCAACAGACCACTGGAAAGTTATCTAACACAGTGCACAGTTACAAACCCATTAAGATTTCAACTTCGATTCAACAGAGCAGAAGAAGTTGTTACACACATGGCAAAATCTTACTGAAGCGACCATACGAGTCATAAATACTCGTACTCCACCCAAGTAAAACAGAAACAAGCAACACTTAGTGGGCCAGCCAGAGACTTAGGGCCCCACACAGGAATATCCCTGAAAAAAAAAATCCACCTGGCTTTGGGAGGGGAGGGCATTTGTGTTACCTGTGCATGTTGTAAATTATATCTAAGCACCTTGCGTAACAAAATAAACGCATTACTTACTGCCAGTGTTTTTGTCAGCAATGGCCAGCACTCCTTGAGGTACTTCTCTCTGTATTTTGGGAAAAGAACAGAAAAGGAGCTTTCTTCTAGAAGGTGGCTAGTCATATCACCTTTCTTAAATTCTGGAATTTTTATGGCCCAGGCATTTTCCACTGGTCCTTGTGGCAGTTCTTCAGTCTCTCCATCATTATCCGACATTTTGCCTGATGATACCTCAGCTAAAAATAAGAAAAAATGTGTCAATATTTGTATAAAATGAAACACACACACTGGTAAATTTGTCACATTTATTATATGAAAATTATGCACATATACAAGACATTATTATTTTCATAGCCCACCCTCTCCTAACCTAACCTATCTAAGCTCATTAAAAAATTCTGTAGGCTTTGTGTTTTGCTTCTCTGCCTTTTTTTTAATACTTTATACCAAGTGCTAAGGTTTTACTATATCATTCAATATACACACAAAATACTACAGTACTGGTGTCTAGCTATATGGGGTAGAGAAATGAATACATCTGCTTAGTCTGTCAACTTGATGTGGTATTTAGAGAAAAAGCACCAATATGAACGGAGAATTCAGCCACCTGGTGGATGAGGCAAGGTAATTAGGTCTAGACTAGGTGAGGCACATTTGCAAATTATCTTTGCTTACATATTTTATTTGCATCTAAATAGCTCATCAGTGGAAAAATATTTCCCACCCATGGTAACCACGACAGCCAGAGATCAATAGGGTAAACACTCCAAATTGATTTGTTATAATAAGGAGAATTAGGGAAAAGATTAAGTAAAACCAAAAGTAAAACCCAAAAGTAGCTAATTTCATCCTCATAGTTTCCTCTCTCTCAGAATGTTTGGTAATATGTTTATTGCTTGTGATGTGTGTCTATGTATGTATTAACACGTTGTACTGAACGGGGTGAGAATAGCTTGAGCTACCTCATCCCTTTGTGTGTATTTTACCTCAATAAACTTATTTCAATTTCAATTTCATAGTTTCCTACCTTGTGCTTCAAATTCACACTGTATCTTGTACTACCCACTTCCCCAATATTAGTACTTAAGAAATACATCCTTACAAATGTAATCACCGCTGTCAACCTATAGTGTAGTTATTTTTTTATATATATAAAAATCTTGCTACAACGTACCATTTCATCTTACTTGATATGTTAGATTAAGGACCTGCCCGAAACGCTATACATGTTAGTGGCTTTGTATGAATGTAAAAATACCAGTCTTATGTAATCTCACTAACCCATTGCACCTTCTTGCAAAAAAAAATTATTATTATAATATTATTATTATAACTAACCTTCTGCACAAAATAAGACGGCAGCTCCACACGTGAACTGTGCTTGTTGTGATTGTTTGTGAAGACTTTAGTCTTCTCTCCTCACTTTACCTTAGAGCTTTTAATGTGTATATTTTCTTATTATTTATTATAAATAAAATTAAAGACTATTTTTTTAGCGATTTAGAATGAAACTTTCGGAAGCCAAACAATTAATATATGTATTCTGTTACCTAAAGTGTGTAATATAAAATAATATTGGAATATTTGCATCGCTTTTCGAAAACTTGCTCAGTTTCCCTTTCCAACAGTTAATTTAATACATATATATTTATATATATAAAAGAATAGTACTCTTAATGGCCACCATTTGGTCCGGGAGACATCTCCCGTCACGCAGGGTGCAGTCGCGGCTCCACAGATCTCCAGTATCATCTCTTGATACTAGTAATGGCTCAAAAGGGCCACCACTTGCGGGCTATTCATGCCCGTGCCACCTCTTGGGTGGATTAATCTTTATCAATCAATCAATCATCTTAATGGCTCAACTATGACAAGCAGATGGCTGGACACCTACTTCGTCCGGGGACCGCTGGATAACGTGACGTTCAGGACAACAGTACATAAATGGAAGCTGGAAAGGCAAATGAGTCGATGACAGGAACTAAACTAAATGCGAGAAAAAACTTGTACCACATACGATTAATTAAATGGAATGCACTGAAAGAAGAAGTTGTAGAAGCCACCTACATCCACAACATTAAGGCCAGATTCGACACACGCGTCAGAGTAGCTAAATTATAACGCGACAGGTACAACTAGGCTATATAGGTACAACTAGACTATAAATAATATTATATTTGACCTTTTAAAGGATTGGTTTGGATAAATGTCCTCCATCTTGCTCAGAATTTTAAAGTCTCGATAAGATCAGCTTGGTCATGTCTGGTTTGCAGCGTTGTTAGTCCTGTGGACCTCTATGGAAGATGACTTAGTTCTGGGATGACTAATAAGTCAATATTGACTTATTAAATTTGCGAGAACGGGTTGGATTGTTACAGCCATGTGTTAAACTTTCTAGAAATCACATATATATATATATATATATATATATATATATATATATATATATATATATATATATATATATATATATCCTTTAGGAGATGAGGATATGCTGCTCAGATACAGACTATTCCTAGGCCTTGGTTAACTCTTTTTTTCTGACACTTGTGCACTTTGCAATGACTGGTGGATCAAAACTTCTGCGTTCCTTCGTCGATCTGCGCCAGAATGGTGTCTGTCACTTCCCTTTTGTTATGCATAAGTGGGGGACTATATCAGAATGCATTTAATTTAAAAACAATGCATTTATTGTAGCTTTATCTATTGTATGCTGTTTAAAAACAAAGCAAAAAAAATACTCATTGACTGATTGATGTTAAGGTGTTATAGGACAACTAGACAATCCATTCACCTGGGTTCTAGGAGACTCGAACCATAGACATCACGTGTGTTAGGCCGAAGCTCTATCAACCGAGCTATTGAGTAGCCTTAATAAGGAAAACCTGTTTAAAACCTTTTTAAACCTGGACAAGACTGTCTAAACATCTCATGTAAACCCATCAGGTTTACTCCAGTCTTTACCTTTCAGTGATGAAGTGTTGATGCATAAAAAAATTCAGGGAAGGATAATTAACATCAAGTATTTTTTCAACATTTTATTATTGGTAAAAAACACAATAGCATATATATACCAATTTGCATCGAGCGGTATAAAATGACTAAACTCTAGATAACTTCTTATTGCGCATATTTATGAAGTCAAAACATACATTCAGGCGAATCTTATGTCCTCGGGAAATTAGGTGGAAGCGTCCACGATTGGTCTGCCTGAGTGATACTAAGCAAAGCAGCCTAGCAGAGCAAGTCTGCCTGAGTGATACTAAGCAGCCTAGCAGAGCAAGTCTGCCTGAGTGATACTAAGCAGCCTAGCAGAGCAAGTCTGCCTGAGTGATACTAAGCAGCCTAGCAGAGCAAGTCTGCCTGAGTGATACTAAGCAGCCTAGCAGAGCAAGTCTGCTTGAGTGATACTAAGCAGCCTAGCAGAGCAAATTTATTTATTTATTTATTTATTTATGCATATACAAGAATGTACATAAGGAATGTGAGGATACAAATATGGTAATTACAGTCTTGTAAAGCCACTAGCACGCGCAGCGTTTCGGGCAGGTCCTTAATCTAAGAAAATTTTAAGGAGGTAAATACTTGCAAAATTTATAGACAAAAAAATGATAACAGATTACATGAAATGAAAAAAAAAAAAAAAGATGAGAGAAAATTGTAGGTACAGTATATTAAAGCACATAGGTAGCTAAGATTGATTGCAATGACAGCTTAAAAATGGTAGTTGACAACAAATTGGTAGGCACAATACAGCAGAAACAATATAAGATTGATTGCAATGACAGCTTGAATGGTAGTTGACAAAAATTGGTAGTCACAATACAGCATATGGCTAGCACATAAAAGAAGACAGCAATGAACACAATGATAAGGTTGTTTGATATTACATAAAAATTAGGAGATTGGGTAACACTAGGTACAGAGCAAATTTAAAGCTCAGTGTAGGAAACTAAGAAGATGAAGTTAGGTACTTTTTGGTTTTGCTTTTAAATAAGGCAAGAGTTTTACAGTTTTTCAATTCACTAGGGAGTGAGTTCCATAGACTAGGTCCCTTAATTTGCATAGAGTGTTTACACAGATTAAGTTTGACCCTGGGGATATCAAAGAGATATTTATTTCTGGTGTGGTGATAATGGGTCCTATTACATCTGTCCAGGGAGAGTTTCAGAGCATGGTTTGCATTTAAGAACAGGGTTTTGTAAATGTAGTTGACACAAGAGAATGTGTGGAGGGAGTTAATATTTAGCAAGTTTAGGGATTTAAACAAGGGAGCTGAGTGTTGTCTGAAAGCAGAGTTAGTTATAATTCTGATAGCAGATTTTTGCTGTGTGATGATGGGCTTAAGGTGGTTTGCAGTGGTAGACCCCCATGCACAGATACCATAATTAAGATAGGGGTAGATTAGTGCATAATATAGTGAGAGGAGAGCAGAGTTAGGAACATAATATCTGATTTTGGAGAGTATACCAACTGTCTTAGAGACTTTCTTAGCTATGTGTTGAATGTGGGTGCTGAAGTTGAGTCTCTTGTCTAGGAATAGGCCAAGAAACTTGCCATCATTTTTATTACTGATGTTAATGTTGTCTATCTGTAGCTGAATTGCATTTGATGATTTGCTTCCAAATAAGATGTAGTAAGTCTTTTCGATGTTTAATGTTAGTTTGTTCGTTGACATCCATAAGTGGACTTTTTTTAATTCATTATTCACAACATTATTTAGTGTATGAGGGTTGAGGTTTGAGTAGATAAGGGTAGTATCGTCAGCAAACAATATAGGTTTGAGAATATTAGAGACATTAGGCAGATCGTTTATATATATAAGAAATGAAGTGAAGTGAAGGCAAATGGGATCACAACCCTGTCTTGGCATTTTCTGTGAAGGAAGGAAGGAAGGAAGGAAGAAGGAGGAAGGAAGGAAGGAAGGAAGGAAGGAAGGAAGGAAGGAAGGAAGGAAGGAAGGAAGGAAAAAGAGAGAGAGAGAGAGAGAGAGAGAGAGAGAGAGAGAGAGAGAGAGAGAGAGAGAGAGAGAGAGAGAGAGAGAGAGAGAGAGAGAGAGAGAGAAAGAGAGAACACAAGGATGTCCTAGGAGAGGGGAGAGGCAGGTAGAGAGACCGAAAGAGGGGAGGATTGGTGAGGGGGAGAGAAGAGAGAGAAAGGAAATTAGAAGAGCGGGGAGAGAAAGGGCAGTTAGTAATGTGAGGGAAAAAAAAAAAGAGCTCCGATCGCAGCTTAGATAACCCGCTTCCCCTGGTGTTTCACAACGGAGCTTGTATTAACCAGATGACACTGTAAATATTAGTCAATTAAATTATTCCCGTACAGTAAGGTTATGGCGGCAAAGGACAGTCTCTTGTTTGTCTCACCTCACGATAGGACTCCTCACGCCCCCTCCCACACACACACATGCACGTCATGTGGAATGTATTGAAGGAAGAAAAAATTATATACCACACTTAAACAACGAGATAAGTAATTAGCGAGCCAGGTATATAGGCTAAACAGCGGGGTATAAGCTTACCGTAGTTGTTGGTATAACTATGTTGAAGTGTACCGTAGTTGCATCTGTGGATATGTACCGTAGTTGCGGCCTCCACGGTAGCTTAGTGACCAACCAGCAAGTGTACTTTATTCATTCGAAGGCTAAAATATACTCTCAAGTGTATATACACACACACACACCGATAAATATATAAACCACTAGGTGTATATACATATCCCTTTGATAGTAAGATGAATGCTATATGATACCGACATATACATCGCCTCTACACAAGCAAGTTGCCCAGTATCCTTGTAAACACAAGACATACTCTACCCAGGAGGTGCAGCACGATAGCTGTGGTCCCTGTAAACAATAAAATGTCAGCTAGGTGGTGTAACACGCCATCTTTGTTTACTGTAAACAAGTGAGACGGGATGGACGTCTCTACGCTACAAGTAGCAAAAGCTGCTGAGTGCGACTTGAACCTGAAGATAGCGGAATGGATCAAGGGATTTATCGAGATAGAAGATTGGTGGGAATTGGAACGGATCAGATGTTAGAGGACAGAAGCCGCCCACAGGCATCCTAGCACAGCCAAGAGCTGGACCGTGGGCGTGTGGGCGTGGTTACAACCATCCCAGTCACAGGAATCGTGGCAGACTTCGGCAACTGCTCCCCGTTCAGTCTTGCCTTTCTCACAGTCCCAGCCCATGTCTGTGGGTCCACACGTCCGCACCAGCGAGACTAGCGTTCCTGTTGGGAGTCGAACGAGTCACAAACACCTCACAAAAATAACTGCACATACCAGTGCTCCACCGAGGCACGATCTCATAATACTAATACATTGTGTCAGGGGACAGGCACCCAGAGTGTATTTATACATGTTAGGCTTATACTCACGTTTGTCATCTTCGGCGGGGGTGTAGGTCCTGATGGTCATGCAGACTGTCATGGCAGGCTCGCACGGTGCTGCCTCCGGAGGCTGGCTGATGCACGCCCTCCCCTCGCCCACTGCCTCGCCCTCTGCTTCGCCTCCTGCCTCACCCCCTGCCTCACTCGTGCACTGCACGCAATGGATACCCACGGCTGAGAGAGAGAGAGAGAGAGAGAGAGAGAGAGAGAGAGAGAGAGAGAGAGAGAGAGAGAGAGAGAGAGAGAGAGAGAGAGAGAGAGAGAGAGAGAGATTATTAACTAGTGCGTATGGGAAGATACATTTAGGGGTTAAATTATACAAAATGCGGCAAGCAAGTGAGTGTAGACATTGATTTGTGAAACTAGTACAAGGTAGACACAAGGTAGACACAGGGTAGACACAGGGTAGACACAAGGTAGACACAGGGTAGACACAGGGTAGACACAAGGTAGACACAGGGTAGACACAGGGTAGACACAAGGTAGACACAAGGTAGACACAGGGTAGACACAAGGTAGGCACAGGGTAGACACAGGGTAGACACAAGGTAGACACAAGGTAGACACAGGGTAGACACAGGGTAGACACAAGGTAGACACAGGGTAGACACAGGGTAGACACAGGGTAGACACAGGGTAGACAGGTAGACACAAGGTAGACACAAGGTAGACACAGGGTAGACACAAGGTAGACACAAGGTAGACACAGGGTAGACACAGGGTAGACACAAGGTAGACACAGGGTAGACACAGGGTAGACACAGGGTAGACACAGGGTAGACACAGGGTAGACACAAGGTAGACACAAGGTAGACACAGGGTAGACACAAGGTAGACACAAGGTAGACACAGGGTAGACACAGGGTAGACACAAGGTAGGCACAGGGTAGACACAAGGTAGACACAGGGTAGACACAAGGTAGACACAGGGTAGACACAGGGTAGACACAAGGTAGACACAAGGTAGACACAGGGTAGACACAAGGTAGACACAAGGTAGACACAGTATATACTCTACCAGAGGTCCTATACCTCGTTGGCAGAACAGCAGCAGAAGCAGCAGCAGCAGCAGCAGGAGGCGAGGAGGGCGGGTTGTGGGCGTGGTCATCACGGGGTGCCGCCCACACAGGGCTGGGCGGGCTGTGGGCGTGGTCATAGCGAGGCACCGCCCACAGAGCACCACCCAGCGCACACTAACCTCCTAGAAACACCTGCAAGAATCAAAATGATATGGTGAAGATTTATATGAGATATGGTGAAGATATGGTGGAGATATGGTGATATATGAGATATGGTGAAGATTACCATTAACAAATAAAATCAACAACGATTACTAAAAATATATATAATAACAAACACAATACAACAAAAACATCATCAACAGATAATTCTATAATTATAAAGGCCCTGCCTTGATATAGTTTGCTATAGGACTTAAGAGACAGACCGTCCGCTCACTAAAGCATCAGTCCTCACGTCCAATATTGAGTTGTGGAGATGAGAGAGATCACCGAAGGAGGCTGGCCAGTCTCCCCCTCTCACACTTTATCTCTGGTTAGTCCGAAGAGAACACGATGCGTGTTCCTGGGGTCTCTCTCCTATATCATAATTGTCCAGGTGTTATAGTGTAGATCACCTTTGGTGTTCTCTAGAACACAACAGGTGTAGAACACAATAGGTGTTCTCTAAAACACAATACATGTCTTTAGAACACAATATATGTCTTTAGAACACAATACATGTTCTCTAAAACACAATAGGTGTCTTTAGAACACAATAAGTGCTCTCTAGAACACAATAGGTGTTCTCTAGAATACAACAGGTGCTCTCTAGAACACAATAGGTGTTCTCTAGAACACAACAGGTGTTCTCTAGAACACAATAGGTGTTCTCTAGAACACAATAGGTGTTCTCTAGAACACCTTAAGTGTGTTGTTACGCCAGGAAGAAGATGCAAGACAAATCTATCTCAAAAGAACATGGGAAGATAATCCCCCCCCCCCCTAGGGGCCAAATTGGGGAACTTGCCCCCCCCTTCCCCCCCCCCCCGAACAACTCTGGACACACGTCCAAATACTGTACATGAATTGCTCACAAGTATATAAATTAGAACACAAACTACAATGAAATATAACGTATAGTAGTTATAATGACTGAGATGAGTGAAGACAGAGGATCCAATAGAAGATCAGCCAGACGGGACAAGTCGGCGTCGCCAGCAGTCGCGCTGCTTCATATTCCACAAGATAACGATCGTAAATAACACAGTGATATCGAAACTGTGCTTCGTGAATTGTGGCGTTGTGGAGGCGGCTCCAGACGCTGGGCAGCGGTGTGAGACGGGAAAGGGGATTCTGTGTGTCTACATGCCTCTGTCTGCTTCAGTCATTCGGGCTCCTGTCTTTCTCTAACATCTCTCGTTGTCTCTGTGTCCCCTTATCTCTTCCTCTCTCTCTCTCTCCTCGCATCACCCATCTGGCTATCGCCAAACATCTCACCTCTAGCGTCCCCGCCAGCAGTCATGGGTAGTGATGGACGGGTCCACATGTCCCCTGGTCTAATGGCGCTCCTTGCAGCGTCGAGACCGCTGCCTGAGTGAATCATGTCCATCCTGCTTCCTGCGAGACTTGCCTCCAGGCAACGCAATGGGAATTCTCAATACGTTTTGTGCACTTATGAACGCAATTGGTGTTTATTTATACCTAATGAAATATTTGTTTTGGTATTTTAACAGAACAGGTTAGCCTGGAATGTATGTTTATAATTGTGTGTTTAATATGTTGAAATTAATGTTGATATGCCTGCAATTCTAGCTGCAACTTGGCCTCTAACTTGGGTTATAATCTGTGTTGAAACTTGGGACTTTGATGATGACTGCGCCTGGGGATGTGCTGCTGTCTTCAGATGGACACACGTGTCTCCAAAGTGTGTGTGTGTATATGTCGTACCTAGTAGCCAGAAAGCACTTCTCAGCCTACTATGCAAGGCCCGATTTGCCAAATAAACCAAGTTTTCATGAATTAATGTTTTAATTAACTACCTAACCTAGCTTTTTTGGCTACCTAACCTAACCTAACCTATAAAGATAGGTTAGGTTAGGTTCGGTCATATATCTACGTTAATTTTAACTCCAATAAAAAAAAAATGACCTCATACATAATGAAATGGGTAGCTTTATCATTTCATAAGAAAAAAATTAGAGAAAATATATTATTTCAGGAAAACTTGGCTTATTAGGCAAATCGGGCCTTGCATAGTAGGCTGAGAAGTGCATTCTGGCTACTAGGTACGACATATTATATATATATATATATATATATATATATATATATATATATATATATATATATATATATATATATATATATATATATATATATGACAATGTCAGACCACGGAGGAAAAATGAAACAGGAATTTCCTTAAGTACTTTCGTATATTAATACATCTTCAGAAGGAGTGACTGAAGATGTATCTCCTTCTGAAGATGTATTAATATACGAAAGTACTTAAGGAAATTCCTGTTTCATTTTTCCTCCGTGGTCTGACATTGTCACATTTTTAATCACGTGTTTATTTTCGTGATATACACACACACACATATATATATATATATATATATATATATATATATATATATATATATATATATATATATATATATATATATATGTCGTACCTAGTAGCCAGAACGCACTTCTCAGCCTACTATGCAAGGCCCGATTTGCCTAATAAGCCAAGTTTTCCTGAAATAATATATTTTCTCTAATTTTTTTCTTATGAAATGATAAAGCTACCCATTTCATTATGTATGAGGTCAATTGTTTTTTATTGGAGTTAAAATTAACGTAGATATATGACCGAACCTAACCAACCCTACGTAACCTAACCTAACCTATCTTTACAGGTTAGGTTAGGTTAGGTAGCCGAAAAAGTTAGGTTAGGTTAGGTTAGGTAGGTTAGGTAGTCGAAAAACAATTAATTCATGAAAACTTGGCTTATTAGGCAAATTGGGCCTTGCATAGTAGGCTGAGAAGTGCGTTCTGGCTACTAGGTACGACATATATATATATATATATATATATATATATATATATATATATATATATATATATATATATATATATATATATATATATATATATATATATATATGCGAACAAGCCTGAATGTCCCCAGGACAGTGAGTTTTCATTTTCATATATATATATATATATATATATATATATATATATATATATATATATATATATATATATATATATATACACCAATCTTCGCAAGAATTATGGATTAAAATGGTATTAAATTACTATAATTTTTCATGAATTTTAAGGATATATGTTGTACCTAATAGGCCAAGTTGCCTAACAAGCCGAATCTTCCTAAAATATTATATTGAAAAAGAAAAAAAATATAATGGAATGATTAAGCTTTCTATTACATTATTTATAATTTGATTTTTTTAATTTGAGTAAAAACTAACATAAATTTTATCAAACCTAAATTAACGTAACATAAATCAGTAATTCACGTTCTTAATGTAATATAATCATATTAATTGGAATAAACAATTTTGAAATAAATATTTTGAAAATGACGAAAATCCCTCTGATTGTTAAGCTTTGCATATCAGCTCAGGTATCGTATGGGGAAGGAAATTGCAGAAATGTGGCCTCAAGTGGCCCAGGCGGCCCGAGGTGGCCCCCAGGTACCTCCAGGTGGCCCCCAGGTGGCTCCAGATGGCCCCAGGTGGCCAGGGAATCAGGAATCAGTCTCCGGAACGATAAAACAAAGTCCTCGGACTCTCCTGTCCGAGGCACTGTCTCTTGGACAGAGACAGAGGAACGGATGTTCACTCCAGAGACACACAGACGTCTGAGAGAAGGAAGAACCATCGCAAGCACCGCAATATTTATATCTGGTACGAGGTAGAGTCACGTACTTTAATACAGAAGACAGAGACGCGAGTAATGATTCTTTGGAAGTGTCGTGGAGTGGTCCTCCCGTGTGTGTGTGGCTTCCATTAGTGCACTCCACTGTCGACGACCCCAGCAGCTGCCTCATGTGTCCAGAAAACTGGTCATAGCGAGCTCTTAACGCGAACTACGACAACATAAAATGGAGATCTCAATCAGCGGGACGTATAATGTGAGTGAGGGAGGGAATGGAAACGGGGTTGGAGGGGGGTGTTTCTTCAGCTGTCTAAGAGAACTGTTTGTTCCTGCTCCTGCTTCCTCACCGCCTTGTCGTCCAGCGCGCTCCGCCAGACACACTTGGACGCTTTAATTCTCCATTCAGAAATATTTCGTTAATGTAAATTTTTTTTATTACTTCCGGGTTGAGTAGCCACTTCTATTCCGGACGCTGCAGCTGCATGTGTTGTCAGGATGAACGAGCGTAGTATTGCGGTCAAACTATGCATCTATTCCGGACGGTGCAGCTGCATGTGTTGTCAGGATGAACGAGCGTAGTATTGCGGTCAAACTATGCATACATTCATACATGAAGTCATATATGAATACATACATTGCAGACAGCAATTCACAATAACGTGGCTGAAACGTAGACACCCAACACACACACACATCTGAAAATTAACGAAGCGACGACGTTTCGGTCCGTTCTGGAATATTCCAAGTCGTGGTACAGAAAGTTAAAATATATATATTACAAGAATGTGGTGAACGGCCAGAAGGTAAGAAGTCTACCATATGAGTTAATATAAATCATGAAAACTGTAAATATAAATATTACTGAATCTCCTTTAATACAAATTCATGTAATTTGAATATAAAAAATTCGAACTATACTGTCTTGATCCATTTTTAATTAATTTATTTACACGAAATCTGAGCAACTAATCACATTAATAAAGTTAACTAACATTGACCATTACCCTAAACAATTTGCTAAGACACTCACCCGTCATTGTCTTAACAAGCTATTGGTGTTAGCACCTTGCACTAATGTACCACTCAATAGCCCACATATGTACTATCACAACCCACTATTGTGATAATTCTATATTACTTCTTAAGCAATCTAGTTTTCATTCCATTGTCGCAATTCTCAATTGAATTAACTACTTCGTCTGAATAATTAGTTATCTTGTTCGTCTCGTTATCATGATATTGGGCAGTGATTGAAGCGAAAGAAAATGGGATTTATCACGATATATTGGACAGTGGGAATAGATAGATATATAGAT